GTGTGCCATTCTGTGACATGTGCAGAATCAGCCTGACAGTCGGGTGATGCACTGGGGTGGTTTTGCATGTAGGAAGTTGTTGGAACAGCTTTTGCCTGGTGGTGTGGTAAAGTCCTTGCGTTGTCGTGAAGAATGGAGGCAATTGAGTGTTCACTGCTGTGGTTTAGGACGTAGTGTTTAGTGCATTCGAAAGGATCTTCATTATCTGCCTTGATGCTGACCCTTTCACTAGCATTTTCATCTGCACCGAGAGCTTGTTCCAAAATCTTTAGTTTCGCTGCAGCTGCCTCGTAGTTGCTCTGTTCCTTTAAAGCTTCAATTGCTGCCCTTTGACGTGCTGTCTGAGCTTCCATTGCTGCCCTTTGATGTGCTTCCTCAGCTTCCATTTCTGCTCTCTTTTTAGCATATGCAGCCTGTACTTTGCTAGCCTCTGCTTCGGCATGGGCATTTATAAGCTGTTCACTAAGCGTTGAGTGCCTTGAACTTCGGGATCTAGAGGAACCTTTAGAATGTCTGGTGGATACGGATCTGTGAGATACAGTGTCCTGTGGCTGCATTAATTTTGCTTCTGCCTTTGCTTTAGCTAGCAGGATAAAGCTTTCTCTTTCCACGTTAAGAAGCTGGACATTGTTAAGTTGCTCTAATGATTCCTCAGTGTTAATGTTTTGCAGAATAGTTTTGTATTTATTGCTTGTGGTCTGGTACAGTTCATATGAAGCAGAGAGATGCTTTATGGTGCCCTCTAGTTGCAGTACCTCATGGCTGGGACATGAAATCACATCAACGTGGGTCAGGATTTTATCCCAAATCTGCTTCAAACTGGTTGATAGTTCAGTTCTCATGGATTCATAGTTCTCTTTAACCTTCCAAGTGGGTTTCACATAGCGTTTAGCCAATGCATTGGGCTCTGGGTCCTCATCCTGGCTTTCTCCATGTGGTGCATGCTGTGGTGTTTCATCACATACTGAGCCTTTTCCACTCATTATGGCCTGAAGTACACAGGCTTGGCTGTAGCAGTGAAGTGTGTCTGTATACTGTGTGGGGCTGTAACAAGCTGTGCTGGGGTTGTATGCAGACTTCTCCTACAATACACACAGTTACCCTTCACTATGATCTGTCCTGTGACACAGCAATCTCTGTACAAGCTGCTAAATCGTTCTTTTACTATTCTGGAACGGCTGCAAAGGCTATGAATGTGGTTTTCAGGAGCATATGGCGCTCATTGCCCTGATGAGATTATCCATACCAAATCACCTTCCCAGATAGTTTACACAGTCACAACTCACATAAAAGAAGATCTGGCGATGCTTATTCGTCCTATGATCTGTAGAATGTGCAGTTACAACAGGTAAAAGAACGATTCTTCCATACAGGTTAGGAGAGATACAAGTTACATATGTATGTCCAGCAAAGAAAACACTAGAACAGGAAAGGGGGAGGGGAGTACCTGAAGCAGCATGCAAACTATGGAGTGGCCCAAGAGACAAACTTAAGATGAACATTAAAGAAACAGTACATTATAATAAAACAATATCATGTAACATGACAGTATGTCTCTTTGTCCCCCCAACAAACCTTCTGTGTGTCTCTCTTCCCCATCTCCTCCCTGTCTCTCTCTTACCCCTCTGTCTCTGTGTCCCCCCTTCTCCTGTTTCTCTCTATTACCCCTCTCTTTGTCCCCCCATCCCCTGTCTCTATATTACCCCATCTGTCTGTGTCCCCCCTTGCCCTATGTCTCTCTATTACCCCTCTGTCTGTTTGTGTCCCCCCCAACCTGGTGTCTTTCTATTACCCCTCAGTCTCTTCCCCTGTGTTTCTATTACCCCTCTATTTGTCCCCCCCATTCCACTCTATTTGTCTCCCCCCTTCTGTGTCCCTTCTGACCTTGTCACAGGAGGACTGAGGGAGGGGACGGAGCTAACTACCATGCTCCCTTGCGGTTCCCATAAATCCCAGCATCTACACATCATAGAGTAATCCCTACTCTATGATGTGTCCATGCTGGGAATTATGGGAAACGCGAGGGAGCATGGTAGTTAGCTCCGCCCCCTCCCTCAGTCCTCCTGTGTTGACAGTTGCACGGCTGTCAGTATCAGTGAGTGTGCCACCGGATCGCTTAGGCGGCTGCCCGGCACACTCACTCACACTCACTGATACTGCCAGCTGTCAGCACAGGAGATGGGGCCGCCGGCCGTAAGGTGAGTAATCACCTCAGAGTGTGCCGCCGAACCGGCCACCTGGCGGCACTGACATGCGGCCAGTGGCCGCGATTTTATTATAATATAGGGAGCAGGGCTCCCTCTCCATCTCCAGCCCCCCAGGTGCCGCGGCCCACTGGGAAATTTCCTGGTATCCCGGTGGGCCAGTCTGGCCATGATGTTAGGAATACAACTTTGTATTTCTAAAACTATAGATCCCTCTTTCTCACTTTTAGCCCCTTTGTGTGTTTTATTTCTCCCCCCAAGCCCATCTATGTGTCTTTCTCCTCCCCAAGCACCTTGGTGTGGCTCATTCTCACCCCAAACCCCTCTAGGTAGCTCATTCTCCCCCAAAGTCCCTTTTTGTGTCTTTTCTCCCTCTCAGGCCCTCTGTGTGTCTCTCTCCCCAGCCACTCTGTGTGTCTCTTTCTCCCCCCACAGCCCTCTGTGTGTCTATTTCTCATTCTCAGTCCCTCTGTGTGTCTCATTTCCCCCAGCCCCTTGTTGTATCTCATTCCACCCATCCAGCCACTCTAATTTCCCCCAGTCCTCTTTATGTGACTGGTTTCCCCCCACTCCCTCCATGTGTCTCCTTCTGCACAGCCCCTTTATGTGTCTCGCTTTACCCCTTAGCACTTTCTTGTATCTAATTCCCCCCTGTTTTAGGTGTCTCCTTTCCCCGTAGCCCACCCATGTGTCTCATTTCACTTCAGCCCCTCCATGTATCTCATTTTCCCCCATCCAGCCCCTCAAATGTCTTCCGCCAGCCCTTCAATGTGATTCATTTCCCCCCCCACTCCCTCCATGTGTCTCATTCTGCCAAAAACTTCCATGTGTCTCCTTACCCCCGTTTTAGGTGTCTAATTTCTCCCCTAGCCTCTCCATGTGTCCCCCCCCCCAGAGCCACTTAATTTTTCTAATTTTCCCCCAGCCCCTCCACATGTCTTATTTCCCACCACGTAGCCCCTCCAATGTTCCCCCCCCAGCCCCTCATGTATCTAATTTATTCCCTGCCCCTCCATGTATCTTATTCCCTCCCCTCCATCCTGTGCCTGCTGACTTCCATGTAACATTGCCAAGCAGACCGCGGTGGAGGATCTTCTGTATCCTCTACCCAGTCTGACAGGAAGTGCTCCCAGTGAGCACTTCCTGTCAGACTGAATAGGCCCTCTGTGTGTCTTTCTCCCCATCAATCTCTCTGTTTGTCTCTCTCCCCAGCCACTCTGTAAGTCTCTTTCTCCCCCCACAGTCCTCTGTGTGTCTCTTTCTCATTCTCAGTCCCTCTGTGTGTCTCATTTTCCCCAACCCCTTGTTGTATCTCATTCCACCCACCCAGCCCCTCTAATGTTTCCCCCCACTCCCTCCATGTGTCTCCTTCTGCCCAGCCCCTTTATGTGTCTTGCTTACCCCCCTAGCACTTTCTTGTGTCTAATTCCCCCTTGTTTTAGGTGTCTCCTTTCCCCCCACTCCCTCCATGTGTCTCCTTCTGCCCAGCCCCTTTATGTGTCTTGCTTTCCCCCTAGCACTTTCTTGTGTCTAATTCCCTCCTGTTTTAGGTGTCTCCTTTCCCCCAAGCCCCTCCATGTGTCTCATCCCCCCCCAGCCCTTCCATGTGTCTCATTTCACTCCAGCCCCTCCATGTATCTCATTTCCCCCCATCCAGCCCCTCAAATGTCTTCCACCAGCCCTTCCATGTGACTCATTTCCCCCCCACTTCCTCTATGTGTCTCCTTCCGCCCAGCACTTCCATGTGTCTCCTTCCCCCCCCCCGTTTTAGCTGTCTAGTTTCTCCCCTAGCCCCTCCATGTGTCCCCCCCAGAGCCACTTCATTTTTCTCATTTTCTCCCAGACCCTCTATATGTCTAATTTCCCGCCATGCAGCCCCTCCAATGTTCTCCTCCCACCCCCACTTGCAGGGTCAGATTAAGAGCCCAGTGGGCCTATTGCTGACAATTATGATGGGCCTAATTACAGAATCTTATCGACCAAAAACACTAAAACAACCATACCTCCCAAGCTTCATGTATCTGATGGAGATGGTGTTGGAGGGAAACTCAAAGGATGCAGCTATAAGAAAACACATACCCTATGCTAATCTCTCTCTAATTTATGCTTTCATCTTTCAGTAAATCCATACCCCCCAACAGCAGTGTCCAGTGAGGCAGGAAGTCAATGGGCCGGGTAAAAGGGTGGGCCAGTGGCGTGAATCACGTGACCAGACCTGCCAAAAGGGGTGAACATGAATTGATGCATGTCAGGCTGCCTGCCAATCATGCAAGATGTCCCACTAATGGCATACTATGCAGACCGCACCCTGAGCTTGGCATAAATGCATCAAATGATGCGCCTACTCCACACTTTCTAATGACTGTCCCCTAGCACTCACATGTCCACTTGTCTCCTTACCTACTTACTAGCAGGCAGACGTTCCTGGTATATAGTCTGGGACAGAGAAAAGGTGTATGTAGTGAGTGTAGAAGTGTCACGTATTTATCCACTTATAAAAATGTGGTTAATGACATTTACTGTCCACACAGGAAAAATTGTGCCGAGCAGCAACCAAATCCACAGAAGGGTTAATGCTGAGCAGCAATTATGCAAATGAGAACCTGGTAACTGCTTTTGGTCAAAGGTCGGTTACAGCCTATCAGATCTAGAGGAGGGTTATTTAGGCCCAGTTCTCATCCTGCTCAGTGCCCTGTCGTGGTTTCCCTTGTAGTTGTCCGAGAGCGCGTTATTGATTCTGGTTATTTGACTTTGGCATTGTTTTTGACTTCCCTGTTTTCTGGCATCCCTGACTCCTGGCTTTTCCTTATCGTTTTGTCTCTTTCTGTTTCCCTTGACGTCGGCTATTCCTGACTATTCTTTGGTACGTTAGTCCGGCCATTCTAAGGTCCGGTATACGTTACCTATCAGTCCTCTGTGTTATACAATTCTACGTGCTGGATCATTCTGTAATCCTGACAAGAAGAAAGGGGACATGCCACAGTGTTAGAGACCAAAGTCTGCATTATCTAAACTAATTTTATTGTCAGCCAGTCCACACAAGTTTTGTTCCCATACATCCCTCTTAAGTTTCCAAACTTAAAGAGACACTATAGTCGCCAGAACAACTACAGCTTATTGTATTTGTTATGGTAAGTAGAATCATTCCCTTCAGGCTCTTTGCTGAAAACACTGTATTTTCAGAGAAAATAACTCCACTGGCCACTCTTTAGATGGCTGCTAGAGGTGCTTCCTGGGGCAGTACTGCCTAGTGTGCAACACTGCCATTCAGTGTCTCCACCCTCTGCATGCAGACACTGAACTTTCCTCATTGAGATGCATTGATTCATTTTATCTTTATGAGGAGATGCTGATTGGCCAGGGCTATGTTTTACTTGTGCTGGCTCTGCCTCTGATCTGCCTAGTTGACAGTCTCAGCTAATCCTATGGGGAAGCATTGTAATTTGCTCAGACCACTACTTCTGATGATGTCAGCAGACAGAGTCAGTTCAGAGGCAGAGCCAGCAGCTGCAGACTTGAATACAAGTAAGATTGTACTATATTTAGGGAGGCAAGAGGGGACCAGGGGGACTAGATGGTGGTTTTAACATAATAGGGTCAGAAATACATGATTGTGTTCCTGCCCCTATAGTGTTCCTTTAAGCAAGAGTATGTGAAGAGTAGTTAGGGTTGCCACATTTCAAAAAAATACCAGCCTTAATCATTTGTATAATTAATTAGTTATGCGGGACATCACATGATGTAAATGTAAATCACAAGGAGTGACATAAGAGAAAATTCTGTAAAATCACCAACAAACTTTTGATTCCGCTGTATAGATGGATTGCTCCCAGTGTCTCAGTCTCCCAAGTATCACAGTGATACATTGTGTGTCCTTATGTATCACAGTGTCAGTGTTCCCATGTCGCCCAGTCCCATAGTCTCCCAGTGTCTCCATTTCTCCCAGTGTCCCCATGTCTCAGTGTGTCCCCATGTCACTAGTATACTAGGGGACACAGTGAGACCCGGGGGGACTGAGAGACCCAGGGACACTGGGAGACATGGGGGCACTGAGACACATGGGGACAATGGGAGACATGGGGACACTGAGGCATTTGGGGACACTAAGACACTAGGGCCACAGAGACATGGGGACACAGACACTGGTGGGGAACACTAAGACACTAGGGACACTGAGAGACATTGGAACACAGACACTAGGAGACTAGGGGAGAATTGGAGACACTATGAGCCCTGGCTGGGAGACAGACACTTGGAGACACTGGGAGACATGGGGATACTTGTGAACATAGACATGGGCACACTGAGAGACATGGTGACACAAACACTGGGAGACTTGGGGACACTAGGAGACATGGGGACACTGAGGACACTGGCTGGGAGACATGGGGACACTGTGTCCGTAGTGTCTCTGTGTCCCAATTTCTCAGCATCCCCATGTGTCTCAGTGTCCCCATGTTTTCCAGTGTCTCCAAGTGTCTCAGTGTCCCCCAGGTCTCCCAGTGTCTGTGTTCACAAGTATCCCCATGTCTCAGTGTCACCATGTCTCCCTGCTGCCTTTCCCTCATCCCTAACTTACCTGAGCTGTAGAGCTGCTGTCTGGACTCTGTGCTGTGTAGCTGCTCCCCACGGATCAGTGAGTAGTAGAGAGAGGCAGAGATATGCTGTAACTTCCTATCCCTGCCTCTCTCCACATACAGTGACCCCTACTGGTCCGTGCTGGTATTGCAGAATAATCTCTGTTTATACTGAGAAAAATATATATTATTTTTTTAAATGGGCCTATTCCATGGGCCTGGGCCTGGAGCTGCAGCTCCATCAGCCCCTATGTATCTAATTTATTCCCTGACCCGCCATGTTTCTCCTCCCCTCCAGCCCCTACATGCGTTTTATTCCCTCCCCCCCATCTTGTGCCTGCTGACTTCCATGTAGCATTGCTGCGCAGACCGCGATGGAGGATTTTCTGTATCCTCTATTCAGTTTGACAGGAAGTGCTCACTGGGAGCACTTCCTGTCAGACTGGGTAGAGGATACAGAAGATACTCTACCTGCAGGTCGGCCACGCTACATGGTGTGGCTATGCTCACTCCTACTGCTGGCCACCAGGCGTTTGTGACCTACAGGCGCTGCTCCTCAGGTGGCCGCACACCGGCCTTGAAGATATATATTGCTCACCGGGAAATTTAAGCCCTGGGCACTGTGTGCAAGGTGTTCCATATCTGGATCACCATTTTACCTTAGGGAGACCCCAAGAGTATATGAAGAACACATAACTCAAATAAATTGGCCTTTAGTGGGTTCCTGCTCAGTTTCCAAAATAGTTTTAGCTCAGTCATGCAATTACAAAGTCTAAATGTGACACTGATGACTGATCCCACACAAAATGGCAGCTAAGGCTTCCCCTGTAAGAAATTAGAAAAACCTCAGATGATCCTCTCAGCCATGGTGAGCCATGTCAGTGAGGTGTGACTGATACTCATCTAGGCATCTAAGCACTTTCCATTTCTGGATTACCCTTTTACCTTATGAAGACCCTAAGAATATACAAACAAGCCAAAACAAAGGGAGAAAGATTGAGAAAGAACAAATCAACTTTTGTTGTATACCCAGTCAGTTAGTTTTTTCACTGTTCTTTGATGACATCTCCCAAATGTAATTTGAGGTTACTGAAGATTTTAATACCATGCTCTACTAGAAAGAAAATATTGTATTTTTTGTTCTTCTTTCTCTACACTCCCTTGCAGTTGATATTGATTTCTTATTCATGTTTTTCTTATTCAAGTGCATATATTGCTTCCCAGACCATTTTATCTTCATTACCTCATTTCTAAATTGATCTTAGTGTTGTCATTGAGTTTACTGGTATGAACATTTTAGTTAATGACTGATTAGGGCATTTGTATGGCAACTTTAAAGCACTCATGGAAGGAATATCGGAGCTTTGTCCTTTATATTGTGATTGGTCAGCTATCATCCAATCAGATGACTTTGTTTGCTCTCCCAGCAGTGCTGGAGCAGAACCTGGGAGTACACGTGATGCAGAGCAACATATTGACTGATGAGCCAAATCATGTGGTTCATGGGACATTAAACAGCCACACAACCAATAATTCCTAATAACCTGGTACACCACAGATCACTGTAGCTTGCTTATCTTATGTAACATGATGTCATGAAACGACTGTTGAATGCCGCATTCTTGTAGATGATTCTTGTTAGACATGGACTTCTCATTAAATGCAATGTTAAGAAAGCACCAGACTATTTCTTCTGGCAACACATATTTCTCCTTGTTATCTCATGCATATCTCTACTAAGACAATCAAGGACCCTTCTGCTTATTGTTCCCCAAGTGAAGAACATTAAGTGTAATGACATCATTCCCTGCAAGTCACTACGTGATGATATTGCTCACAGAGAGAGTGAATGTGTTCTCAGAAAGTGACTACAACCAGTCATTGTTCCCAAAAAGCGAGGACTGTTATACTGATTGGTCAAGGTCCAAAATCACCCAGACCATTACAATTTCTCCCAGAGAATTACCAGTATACGATATAGTTCCATAGACCAACTTATCCAAAATCAGACATAGGAAAGCTAGATATACAAATTACTCAAGATACTAAAGATGACTGAATAGAGACAGGAAACTCTGCAGTTTAGAGCTCTTAGAAACCTAAATCCCTGTTGTCTACATTTTACATCAAGTGAACCTCTCGCATTAGACTTCAGAATAGTTACCAAATATTATATTATCACAGTGTATAATAGTAATAAACCAGGTTTTCTGTAGAACAAAACACAAAAGGAGTCTAACAATTAGAGAATCACATCAAGTATTCAAAGATACTGTTGCACCAGTAACAATTTTTTTATCTACTCTAGATCATCGGGATGCACACTGGACCCTGACACACAACAGCTGAATGGAAAAACATCAAAAGGTACACATAGGAATTTCATATAAATTATTGGGTTTTTTTTTACAGAAGTTATTGTATTATTAAACAATGAATAAGAATTGTAAACCGCTAGGTCTCAAACTCCAAACAGAATTAAGGAATTATAAGCACATAATGGGTTTTATTTGCAAAACTACAGCTTCAATAACAATCAGAAAAGTTAAAGGGACACTACTTCAGCTAATTGCACATTAGAGCACGCAGGACGTGGGAGGGGCAGAGCGGCGACCCAGCGATGAGGGACATCGGCGCTTGGATAAGGTAAGTAAATGATGGTTTTTAACCCTTTATTTACTAGGGAGGCAGGGGGAGCGATAGTGCTAGGAATATAGCTTTGTATTCCTGGTACCAAGCTATATTCCTAAATAAAAGGACACTCCACTGCCCAAATACAAAATAAATAAAATCACCTTTTAGTAGATACCTGCATTTCTCTTGTCTGCAGCCTTTGCACGCCCTCCTCCCACTCAGACTTTCTGTGCTTGTCTTCCCAATACAGCCCAATTAGGAGTCTTGCAAGGCAGGTGCTCTGAGCTATTGCTGCTTCTTGAGTTTAGCTCAACTGAGCTAAAGAAACCAGGAATTCACAGGATCAGTTTTCTGCTTGAAAGCCAAGTGGGTGTTACCAGGTTAATTTTTAAAAGTGTCAATTTCTACTGAAGTCTGCACTTTTTGCTAAGTTCCTTAGGGGTCAGGATTGTACCTTTAAGTGGACTTAAATTACATAAACATTTATGTAGACATCAAAAGATTTTTTGAAATGGCACTCTAAATACCAAAACTACTAAAGCAAAACATGAGAAATGGCAATGTAGCGGACCCAAGGTAACCCGACTGGTTACCTTCCTTCAGCCGGTCAGGAACCATGTAAAGGATTGTAACCGCAGCCGGTTCCCTTATTTACCACTATAACGTCTTAAAGCATAGACCTTAGCAGGGCTAACCATACAGATATCTTAGCCATAATTTATATAGTTAATAAGAGATCCTCTATCTAAAATATATAAATAATTGAGAATACAATATAAAATAAGGATTGTCTTGGAAGCAATAAAGTTTTGTATTTATAGATATTTTATTAAATAAAAAAAATATAGACATATAAAATCCATTGCAATAATTAACAGCAGAGTTTATAAGATTAAACTATATGCTTGCAATATCATTAAAATAGAATAATATGCCCTCCTGAACATGTCAACATGTCAGCCTCTCAATCATTATAAGATGGAGCAGCGTTTCTGTCTCCAAATCTCTTCTCTCCCTGCATCCTAATATTAATAGTACACATATTTATACCTTTTAAATGTTCATTTTAGTACCTTCCTTAACTTGGCAAAGATACAAGGCCATAACTAAAACGTAAGGGTGCACACGTCATGGGAAATTCCATTAAGCTAAGACAAAATGGCGTAAGTTAGAACTACGCAGCATATTATGCACTGAAAGTAGGTAAGAGGTTATTGCTATTACGTTGCATAGCCTTGAAGTTTGTTTATGCATTAATTGTTATTGTATTAGGCAAAGACAAAATGGCGTAAGTTAGAACTACGCAGCATATTATGCACTGAAAGTAGGTAAGAGGTTATTGTTATTAAAGAAACATTGTATGAAAAACAATATGTTCCATTTCTAACACCTTGTCAGTTTGCAATATCTCTTAAAGACAAAGTACACAGTTTAAAATACAACTTTGCATTCTAAAACTTGTAATATTTGCATTTGCCCATAACAGGACAAATACACCCATTTCCCCCAGTAACTGGATAACACACAGTCCTGGAGGTACTTTGCAATTTTATTGGCGACACACGGCTTTTATGCATAACCCCCTGCAAGGGGCGGATCACACAAAACATACAAGGTCACCTCCCAGGATCCTCCCCCTCCCTGGGTCCCTAGCACGGGAAGGGACTCTGTTCCCTTTGTCCCCAAAGCCCGCCACTAAAGTCACAGGGTTTCCCACACCAACCGCCAGGAGTCTTCTTCCCAAGAGTCTCTGTGTCTGTGTTTCGGCGCGGGAAAAAGGGGCTCTTTGTCCCTCAGGCCCATGAGAGCTTACCAAACTTGCCAGTGCCCCAAAAATACCCACACCAATCTCAGGGACCCTCGTCTCGGCCCTTGACCGACTAATCTCCGTTCGCGAAGTCCTGGGGTGAAACCCAGACAAGGGAAGCGTCTCCTTTCGGGCTATGAATGCCCACCCAGGGAAGCACTCATTAATTACTTTACTTGCAGTTTTCACACCTCTGTGGCAACTGCGAACGTTCTGATTAATTGGTGTGAACTTTCTAATGGGACACCGGGGAGGCCCTCGTTCGTCTCACAACATAAGTGTCAAACCGCAAAGGGAAACAATCCACGAATGCTCCTCTTGTTGGCGTTCGCCTGTACAAATGACTGCCACCCAGGGAAGCACTTGTTAATTGCTTCCCTTTGTGGTTTGACACTTATGTTGCGAGGTGTGAACATTCTATCCCAACATTTTAAATGAGGGATTGGGGTAGTCCCCGTTCAGGAGGTGAATGGATTCCCTTTGTGGAAGACCTCCCGAACGGGGAGAGGGCACAATAAACGAA